CGCTCATAAAAAAAAACACCAAAAAAAAAAAAAAAAAAAAGCACATGATTCATGATTTGGGCATCTTCCTCCCAGTCACGGCTCTCGGTGCTGATTGGATCACTATCCAGCCGCAGTGAGGAGGGCGGTGTTCTCCGACAAGAACCTGGAATGCAGCTGCTGTGTTACAACCGTGGGCAAAGTCCTGTTTTCGCAAGTCAGCTGAGCGAGGGGGAGAATGGAATATCTTATCATGAAAGAAGTCTGATCAAGACATTTGCTTCCTGAGAAGGCCACCCTCTAAGGGCAATATACATAGGAAAAAAGGCTCCAAAGAAATGTCTGGGATGTTCTCAGCCTTGTGCTCATGTGACAGAATACGGATAATTTTTTCCTTATATTTTTCTGCAGTAGACATGTGCAACTTTTGTAAATGTAAGAAATCATGATTAAAAAAAATACCTCAAGTCATTCCAATGTCATTCAGCTAATAAAAAACAAAGGGCCTGAGCAATTATGCTTTTTTAAAAAACTTTGTTTTTTTTTTTTTTAATTTGTCATATGGCAGGTGCACTTGCCAAAGAGAGACAGAAGCAGAGAAAGAGACAGAACAAGGGGGAGAGAGAAAAAATGGGAAAGCACCCTCCATGGGGAATGTTTACCCACAGTCCCTTCTCCTCCACCTCACCCTCCTTTCAGGATTTCAGGTGTGCATGCACATGCCCCTGCTTTGTTTCTCAAGCTGCTGGGTCTGGGACTTGAACAGCATGGTCAGTAAAGTGGGATCTACATGCCTTAACCACCAGGCCATGAGCTGGGCCAGATAATTTTTATTTAATGGTGACTACACTACTCTTAAATACAGAAGAAAGGGGCTATTGAGAGGGCACAAACTCGGATGTAGTGGAGACATTTTCAGGCCTGCCTCTGGCATTTGGGTGGATGGAAGGGAGGCCCGAGTCCGATCTCTCCTCTAAAATCAGAGAAGACGATGTAACTAAGGGCGTAAGAAAGGTCTTCTTCCACAACAAGAGAAAAGACTGCTCATGCCAAGTCAGGAGATGCTGAATTCCAGGAAGCCTGCTAAATCGGCCTGCGTTGTCATCGTCCATAGGAAAAAGACGGAACCCTGGTCTCCTGAAGGCCAGCATCACTCCCCGGGGCTGTCAGCCATGGCGGGCCTGTGGCACCGGGGTGAAGTGTGGGAACTAATCGCAGGACACCTCGTGGCCCAGGAGCATTCCTTCCCGGGTGGTGGACGGTGGCAGCACACGCTACACGCTGCACACTTCACACCCTGCAGCTCTTACGTTTGCTTCGGAGTCCAACGATGCAGAAAAAATATGACGAATTCATAGAAGGCACCCAACAAGGGTTTGTACCTTCACCTGATGCCACCCTTTCCTGAATTTTCTTCATCTCTCGCTCTTTCTTCACCACTTTACTGAGTATATTCCTATGTAAATTATGGCACGTGGCACTGGTGATGGGAAGAGGAGCAAGATGGAGCCCTGGCTTTGGTCCCACCTGACAGTTTGAGTGAAGGCAGAGGGAACGAAGTGCTAGTTCCCTACGTAGAGACTCTGGGAGCTAAGGAGAACGCCACCACTCTCCTGTCTAGTCACTGGATATCAGAGTAAGGACGCACAGAACAAACATGGAAAATGGTGGGAATGATTTGATATTAAGATGAAGTACCTAGGCCTAGCTTTGAGGCCTAATGGTTAAGGTAGCAGATCTCATATGGCTAGCCGCATGGTTCAAGTCCCAGACCCTGCAGCTTGAAAAACACACTGGCCACATTTGTGTGTGTACCTAGAATCATGAAAATGAGGAAAGATGAAGAGAAGGGATTGGAGTATGTACTTTCCCCATTAGGGGGAGGGGTTCTTCCTTCTCTCTCTTTCTGGTCAGCATATGTACCCTTTAGCAAAAAAACAAATAACAAAAACCAAAAACACCCTAAAAAACAGGAAAGCAAAACAAAAACACTCATTCAGAGTCTTTAGGGAGGAAATACAAACTTTATTGGACTTCCTGACTGTTATTCTAAAGTTTTATATTAGTCTACTTTAAATCACCAATGGGAGACAGGAATGACAGGGAAGGACTACAATATTTTTAGTGCTAGGGCTTCTAAAGGTTTTAATCTGACCTGGACATGGGCTCAGTAGGGTTGTTGAGAGGCTCCAGCTGTGGGTAACACGAGTTAAAGTACCTGATGCAATCAGTAGGCGCTCCATAAATGCAGAACATTCAGGATGCCCTTCTACCGTGTCCTCTTACTGCCTGTCATTTCTCATCTGTGTCTGGGTGAGAGCTCTGAATGAATGCTGTGATAAGTAGCAAGCTCCTTCTCCCCCTGGTCTTTCTTTAAACACTCTTGAGCATGTGCTACTGTGACTGGAGTTTCCTGTGAGCTCGAAAAGAGCGGAGTCAGAGATAAGCGTTCTGGATTACCTCCGCAGTTAACTGCAGAGTCAAGGCCAGGTTATTACCTTGGGAGTCACCTGTGCTGTATCTGACAGGCCAGGGTTACTCCGTGAGCCTCACGTGGACACACTGTATTTCTGTGTATAGGTAACACACGGTATCTGTCACTGGTGGAACTTGTCACAAAGAGAACGAGAACTTGAATGAGTCTCACTTGCCTGTTGAGGCGCATTGATCACACCAAGGTGATACCCAAACTGGAAGGAGCCGAGGGCAGCAGTGAAGACGGTGAAAACCAGAGTTCCAGTGATCTGTGGAAACACAGGAGGGGAAATGCCAGGCAATGTCAGTAACCCGTCATCTCCTGCTGCAGCTTGGACTTCTCACAGGCTCCGCAGGCTGGTCTTTCCCCTTGATACCCATTGACAACAAGCCCTGTGCTCTCAGCAGTCAGGTGTCATTCATATGAGAGTGTGAGACCCAGTCATCATTTCTCTCCACTGCTAGAGCTGGAAAACTTTTGGAAAAGCTTCTCCTAGGGGAGAACCCACATCTCCTTTTCCTTACATATGTATTTTTTAAGATTCAAAAGTCAGACTTAAGAACTAGAATTGCTTTGATAGATGTAGTAATTTATGCCATTGAGAGAGTCAAGTAAAAGATGAGGAGATGAGGTCCTCTCCTGGACATTGCCATGGTAGAAAACACCTCAAAGCTCATGTAAGAGATATCAACCAGCTTTGGGACTCCCACATAGTTGACCGCAGTTTTAGTCCTGGACCTGGCAGTTTGTGTGTGTGTGTGTGTGTGTGTGTGTGTGTGTGCCCAAGATCTCGAGAGGAGAATGGAGGAGAAGGGATGCAGTGCGGCCATTCCCATTGGGGTGGGGGTGTGATTTTTTCGCTTTCTGTCTCTCTAGAGAGTGCACACACACTATGACAAAAATCTTTCTCTAAAAAAAGAAATATCAACCAGCCTTTATAATGATCTGCATTAATATGTAGGTAAAGATACTATGAGTGACCGATTATACGTCAATGAACGAGAAAACCTGGATGAGATGGACCAATTCCTGGACACATACAATCTGCCAAGATTGACTCAAGAGGACATAGAAAGCCTGAATAGACCCATAACAAGCAATGAGATTGAGTCAGTAATAAATAACTTCCCAACAAAGAAAAGTCTAGGTCCTGATGGATTAAATTTTGAATTTTACAAAAGTTTTAAAGAAGAGGCAACCCCCATTCTACTCAAATTATTGCTAGAGATCCAAAAGGAAGGAACTCTTCCACATTCATTCTATGAAGCCTCCATCACCCTCATTCCCAAAATGGATAAGGATATGACAAAAAAGGAAAATTACAGACCTATATCTCTGATGAATATAGATGCAAAAATTCTCAACAAGATACTTGCGAACTGTATTCAACAGCATATAAAAAAGATTATTCATCACAACCAAGTAGGCTTTATTCCAGGGATGCAAGGGTGGTTCAACATACACAAAACTGTAAATATAATACACCATATTAACAGAAAGAAAGAAGTGCTGGAGGGGATGTGGTGAAACGGGAACATTCCTACACTGTTGGTGGGAATGTAAATTGGTCCAGCCATTGTGTAGGATAATATGGAAGTTCCTCAAAGACCTTCAGATAGAACTACCAAATGATCCAACAATTCCACTCCTGGGTATCTACCCAAGGAACAGCAGAATGCTCAGTTGGAAGAATGCTTGCACATCTTTATTTATTGCGGCATTGTTCACTGTTGCTAAGACATGGAACCAACCCAAATGTCCACAAAAAAATGAAAGGATTGGAAAAGTACAGCACATATACTCCATGGAATACTACTTAGCCATAAAAAACAAGGCCCTGGCATTTGATAGAAAGTGGATGAACATGGAAGATTTGTTGTTGAGTGAAGCATGTCAGGCTATGAAAGAGAGACATTGTATGTCTCCACTTAACATATACTGTCTACACTCTATGGTAGAGACTGAAAGAATGGAGGACATAAAAGCATTGAAAATTATTATGGCCACTGGGGACAAAGTGGAAGGAGATTGGGAGAGGGAGAAGAGTGGAGGAAAGGAAATTTGGGAGAAAAATAGAGAGGTAAGACACTTGTGGGACACAGATATGGTTTATTACCTGTTGATGATGATGATGTGTATAATATTCTCAACTGGACTGGTCTGAGGTGTATACCAAGCTGGGTAAAGCCTCTTTAGAATCTAAATGATGTATAGTGATTGAATGTATTAATAATAATAATAATAATAATAATAACTTGAAAAAAGAAATCTTAGCATGTTCTTGAAGTATTTTTCCTTTGATCTTACTGGCTTCTTTTATGGAACTGGTTCTTGTGTCACCCCTTAGGGTCTGCAGTTCCCTACTTCAACTCTCCAAGAGAGAATTTCACCCACTGGGTCAGGTAAAGCACAAACTCATCAGTTTGAAGCAAGTCACTTGAATTTCTAACTGAAGTGATTATCCCTGATAATGAAGTCTCTGCAATTGTCTAACTGCATTTGTTTTTTGTTCTCTTTTCTTCTTACCTCTTATTTTCAGGTTTAACTTCCCTTTCTGAACTGCATGTTAAATTGGCTTTTGACTTTCCATCTTTTCTTTCTTTAACATAGTGAAATGAAGTGAAATCTCTAGTCAGCCTTCTTCATGGCTCAGCACTAGGCTTGGTCCAAGAACGTTTTGTTTAGGAAAAAAAACATTTTTGAAAACTACTATGTCTCGATAAGCCCCAGGAACCTTCATCTTTAATGTTCAAGAGACTGAAATGAGGATAGGTAGATAAGAGTTGATGAAAACAGTGAGAGCTTAAGAGAGCGCCTTCCTTGGTCCACGCCGTAGGATTCTATGAGCTTTGCCTATTCTCCACAATCCCGTAGGAGTTAAGCTCGCCATTTCACACAGGGGGAATTGCCATGGAAAGGGTAAGTAACTGGTATGAAGGCCACATACCTGCTAAGTGGTGGAAGGCTCTCAAGCCTTTCCTCTTAACTTCATCATAGGCCATAAGATATTAAGCTTGCACTTTAAAGAAGACTACTCTCATTTGGAGTTTAATAATTTGAACTTAGGGAAACCAAGTCCCATACCTTACTGGGTATATGTGGAAGGCTAGAATAGACAAGGGTTGAACCCTAATGTAAAACAAAATGTGGACTTTATTTTGTAACTTAGAAGTCAGATGGGCCTATGAGAAACAAAGCAAAGCGAAACAAAACAACTAGATGTGGAAGTCAGCAAACCTAAAAAGAGTACCAGCTAGGGCTTTCACATCCCTGAGTCTGAGGGTCTTTGCCTAAAAAATGGTTGCAATAATAGTTAAGGCATAGGATTTTTATAAATACATTAGAGAGATAACACAGTGTTCTTATAAACAGTGAAAGGGCTATAGAACCAATACCTTTTAATCACATCATTATCATTTCATTTATTGCTTTTGCCAAACAAAAATGTGTTAAATATTCATACGTCATCAATAATCCTTACGACACTATTATAAAGCACAAGAAAGTACCCCATTCAGCTCAGAGGAGGTTAAGGGGCTTACCTTCTACAAGATCGCTAGTGAGTGACAGATATTCTAGTGTGAGACTCTGACAGGGCGTTCTTAAGCCCTCACTGCTAAATGGAAGAGTGGATTTCCAGGGAAGGGAAGAGAAGCTTATGCCCTTTCTTCACACCACACGCTTCCAAAAGCAAAACCAAAGTTGATCTATATCCTTCGGAAAAGGCCAGGGGCTTCTTGAATCATAAAATTTTGAAGATGAAAGGGACCCTCAAGGGCAATGGTTCTTGTCTAATTCCTCTGTTTCTCAGCTGAAGGAATGGAGGTCGGACAGGTTATGGGCATATCCAGAGTCACAGACCAGGTCTCCAGCTTCTCCCACTTCTTTCAAAATCCGGGTAGATTCACACAGCTAACACAGTGCTTGACGCCAGTTATTCTTTCTCGGTTCCATGACTAGGCAATTTCTTGGTTCTCAAGAAAAGTTTTCCGGCATTATTTCTAAAGGCCCAAGGGAATTTAACGACGGGTCCAACTGAAGCTTGATCATCGGCTATGACCTTCCCCTTTGCAGCATCTTTCAAACTTAGTTGTTTGGATACTACCTTCATGTTTTTTGGCAAATTTAAATATCCTCTGCATACTTATTAATATTCATTTCTATATTGTCCTTAAAATTCTAAACACTTTCGCTTTATCCTGGGATATAATATCCGTGAGATACGCATGATATAAACACCTAACTAATTAACATGAAAATATTTGCCACATAAGCCTCACTTACATCATCTCATTTAATTAGCCCCACACTTCGAAGTTCTAGTACAATCCCTGAAAATACCATATTATATTCTTATTTTGTGCAGAGAAAACCCATTGCTGGAACCCGGATCTAAGGCTGGTGATTACAAAGACTGCTCAAACCGTGCTGCTTACTGACATTAAGGAATACGCAGGAGAGGACATTTGACCAGTCAGAACTTAAAGGGGCACACATTTATCGAATTGTGTTACCGTGTATAGGAGTGGGTGAGTTTGGTTGGGGACACTTTTATGGAAACAAGAGTGGTATATCCTTTTTATTTTCAAGCTTTTATAATGGAAAGTATCGTATCTACAGCGATCTTCAAATAGTGCAGTGAACACTCCAGATAATCCCCAATAGTCACTAGTAGTTAACATCTACCACATTTGTTTACTCCCATGGTGTGTGTGTGTGTGTGTGTGTGTTGTTCGGCTGAACCATTTAAAGGTAAGTTGCAGACCTAAATACTTCAGCATGTGTTCCCTAAGAACAAAGGCAGCTTCCTGCGTCATTCTTGGTCCGAGAATGTACACTGACACACTAAAATATATTTCCCAGTCAGAATTCCCCAACTGTCCCCCATACTGTCTCTTACAGCTACTTTTCTTCTTTCTTCCACGATCTAAGGTTACTTAATGCATTTGGTCATCCATTCTTAGTTTCTTTTACCCTAGAACAGCATTTCCACCTTTCCATCTGTCATAGATTGACATTTTTGAAGATTCCAGGTCAGCTTCATGATCAGATTCTGACTCATCTGCCTTTTTTGGGGATAGGGGAGTACATTCCTCCAGTAACATGGTTATGCAGAATTACTTGGAAAAAAAGTAACACAGACTAGTCAGGAAACAGAGCAAACATCTTTAAAACCCCAGTTACTAAATAAGAAGCAGGTTTTTGTTTAACAGCAAAATGATCAATTGGCCAAGAAGTAAGTCCTAGCTTTCATCTCTGCTGGCTACACCCGGCATCCCCCAAATGTCTGTACACACTCTGGACATGAACAGATTCTCCTCTTCGTTTCCTCGAAACCAGATTCTAAGAGAGCACGGCACCACTTTACCTTATCTTGTGTCATGTTCTGGGCTGGGAGTCCTCCTCTCAGTCTGGGAGCTGGCTGGAGGGTGGCACATGCAGCTGACCAGCCCCTGCCTGTGTCCAGAGCTGTCTCAGCTCCTAGTTATACATTGCAGGAGGAGGAGCAAGGTGAGGGAGGAGTGGGGCAATCATGAGTCCAAGTTTAATCTCAGCAGAGTCTGAATATGACAAGAATTTAATCAATAAACGCTTTGCTTCAGTGCCTCTGTTCCACCAGGAAAGAGAAGTGGGAGCAGGTCCCTCAGGCGTAAGTTGCTAACCAGAGGTGGTCCCATTGGAGGGCATGCGTTAAGCGTGGTGGTCACTGGGGCAGGAGAAAGGAGACGTCGGAGGGGTCTTTGGGTGAAGATGAGCTCTCCTGGGCTGTGTTGTGGAGGTGACAAACAGAGGCACTGGTGGCGGCTGTGCCTCTCCTCAGAGAACCTGTGCTGTGTTTGTGCTTTAGGGCTGGGCGGTGAGGCTGAAGTAGGCTTCCACAGTAACCTACGTGGGCTTTGGAGAGTTGGGGACCTGGCTTTGACTCTCACCGTTTTGCTGGGGGTATGACTTTAAATAAATGGCTTGCTGCGACATTTCCCTACCTTAATTATTTTTTTAAACACAAGATAAGATGGAAAAGACAGGATATAAATTTTATATTATTGGCTGGGTTCAACATGGTAATGAAAAGTTTAGCCTGGTGCGAAGTACTCAGCAAACGGTGGCTATTGCTATTTCCATGATTCAGTGGATGTGAAAAACTTGCTGGAAATGATGTCTGGATGTCTGGAGCTCTTCAATAAATCTGTTCTAGAGTTCTTACATAACCTGCTCTGATTGAGCCCTGGGAGAACTGAAACCTCCAGCCTGTTGGATTTGCACCAACCCCACCTGGGAGCTGCCGAAGCAAGGGCACCTGGGCATCTTGGCGTCTTGGGCTGGAGATAAGCCGGGCTTTGCGAGCTGGTGGGATGAGGCCCACTCATTGAGGTGCCCCAGTGCCCGGAATCACTGAGTGCCCCCTGAGTGGTCTGCTCTAGAACTCTGGTCTAGAGTTCTTAAATAAATCTTAAATAAATCTGACTGATTCAGGGGACGTGGAAAACTGGCTAGAGATGATCGTCTAGAGTTCTGAACTCTTCAATAAATCCGCTCCTAAGGATAGCAACGGCTGTCCTTTCCTGCTATCCTTCGGGACATGCAGTCAAGGGTCCCTGAAATCTCACCACTGGTCGCTTTCACGGCCATAGGTAGCAAGCGTCGCTGGTTCCCCTGAGGCTCAAACAGAACCAGAGGACCAGAGGACAGGGAATAGCGGCGAAATGAGGCGTGTGACGTAGAAACAGAGGGCGGGAGTGAAGGGGAGGACACTCAGAGGTCATCGTTCCGCAGGGCGATGCAAAGTTAGGCCTGCAAGGTGATGCCTGCAAGGTGATGCCCCTGACTTGGTCTGAGAACGTTCATTCTACCCAAGCCACAGACGCGGAGCCCAGCGCAGCTCCCTGCTCTGAGAGGAAGAGGCATGGCCGCGGGAACAGGGGCGAGGTGCTGGGAGCTGCTCGCAGGCTGGCAGGGCTGGCTTACCTACCGACAGCGCCGAGCGTCTGTGCGCAGCGCGGAGACTTGGGGAGTGACACGCCCCAGACTGGCCGCCGGCCGCCACCGCGCGGGCTTTCTGCGCCGGTGTCTGCGCGCGAGGCGCACGCCGGGTTGTCAGTGCGTCTGTCGTCCATCTGTCGTCCAGAGGCTCCTTGGCGGTCCGTTTCCAGCGACCCGGCACTCCGCGGGGAAGTCCGCGCCGCGGGCAGAAACGCCAGCTACTTCCCGGCTCTTGCCTAACCTTTGTCTTTTGAACTGTCCTGTTAAGCAGAACCGGCCTGGCGTCGGAGCCCGGCTGGTGAGCCTTTAACTTCTGGCGCTGGGGCTGAGCCGGCGCCTAGCTGCTGCCTGCTGGCCCCTACCTGGCCCTTGTTGGAAGGGCGACCCTCCCCCCACTCGCCAACGGGAGGGGGCACTCTCTCATCCCCCCAGCCCAGCTCCCTCTAGTTAGCCAAGGACTCCCGCATTTTGCTCTGGCGCAGAACTGAGGAACTTCTGCACCGTTTAGAAATCGCTAAAACTTGATTTTCAGGACGGAGGTGGAGGGATCAGTCACCTTGATTGCATGGATTGATCGAGCCCTTAGAGAACTGACACCTCCGGCCTGTCCGAGTTTGCATCAACCCCACCTGGGGAGCTGCGGAAGCAACGCACGTGGGCATCTTGGCGTTTTGGGCTGGGGATAAGCCAGGCTTTGCGAGTTGGTGGGATGAGGGCTACTCATTGAGTGTCCGGAATCACTCTGAGTCCCCCCTGAGCCTGGGGAACCTGCTCTCTGTGGTGACTGCTAGACCTGGCGGCTTGAAACTCAACACTGGGTGCTGTGTGCATGCATACCTCAAATCCCAGGAGAGTGGAGGAGAAGGAACTGCAGCATGGCTAGCCTCCCTGGGAGATGGTTTCTCACTTCCCCTCTCACTGTCTCTCTCTGTCTCTGTCCAGTGAGTGCATGTGCCCTATGACAAAAACCTTAAGGAAAACAAAACGACCTCTTTTTATGGGACTCAAACCACATTGGACTAAGAGTCCAGCGACATAATCACACTATCTCCTGGTCCCAGTTCTAGGAGTTTCTGCTAGATTTCTTGGGATTTCCTATGTAGAAAATGTTGTCATCCGAAAATAGAGTTTTATTTGTTCTTTTACGATTTATACGATTTTTACTTCCTTTTCCTGTCTATGACACTGGTTATTACCTCGAGCGCTGTTGAGTAAGAGTGATTGAGCGTTTAATCCCTGCCTTGGCCCCAGTCTTAGGATGAAAGCGTTATTTTCGCAATTAAGTACAGTGTTAGTTGTAGATTTTCCGTAGCTATTCTTTATCAGGTTGAGAATGTTCTTCTCCATTCCTATTTTCCTAAGAGTTTTATTTAATTTTTAAAGAATTATTTATTTAATTTTATTTATTATTATCTTTTAATTTGGCCAGAGAGAGACAAGAGAGAGAAAGGAAAAGTGAGAAAGCAAGTCACCAGGTCTGGGACTCAAACTGCAGTTGGCCATGTGGGAATCCAGCACCTTAACCACCACACCACCTCCTGGCCCAGAATTTTTATTTTTTAAAAAAAACTATGAATGAGTACTGAGTTTTGCTAAATGTCTTTTCTGCATCAATTGACGTGATTGTGTGATTTTTCTTCTTTAGCCTTTGAACATGGTGGATTGTACAGATTGATTTGAATATTAAGTCAGCCCTCCCCCTGACATAAGCATCACTTGGTTATGGTATACAGACTGTCTATTGTTAAATTATATTTTCTAATATATTAAGGAGTTTTACCTCTATATTCATGACATAGGTTATGTGTAGTTTTCTTTTCCTTTTTTTTTGTACTGTCTCTGTGTAATCTGGTATCAGAGGAACAATAGCTGTACAACATGAATTTAGCCTTCTATTCCATCTCTTTGGAAGAGACTATAAAACTGATGTTTGGTTGATTCTTCAGTGAAATTGTCTGAGTCTGGACATTTTTTTGGGAAGATTTAAAGAGATCAGTTTAATTTCCTTAACTATTCAGGTGATCCGTTTCATAATAGATGAGTTATGGTAGCTTTATGTGTGTGTTTTTATTGTTGCTCTTTTTTAGATTTTTTTGCCATAGGGCATGTGTGCTTGCCTGAGACAGAGACACAGAGAAAGAGAAGGTGAGAAATCACCCCCAGGACAGATGGCCATGCTGCAATCCCTTTCCCTCCATTCTCCTCTTGGGATTTTAGGCACACATGCACACGTGCACAGCGTATTTTTCATGCCACTGCATTTGGGATTCGAACCATGGTTGCGGCCATGTGGAATCTAGCACCTTAACCACCACACCACCTGCTGGCCCCATAGCTGGGTGTTTTTGAGGAAGTGGTGCGCTTTGTCTAAGTTGTCAAATTTATGTGTATAGGGTTGTTTCCAGTATTTTCTTACCATTCTTTTGATGTCTGTGGTGTCTTCGGTATATGCTGTCTCATTCCTGATATTGCTGATTCATGTCTTCTCCTCTCTCTGCCAATCTTGCTACTAGTTTACACATCTTATTTATTTCTTCAAAGAACCAGTTCTTTGTTTCATTGATTAAACATTTTTTTTTCTATTTTTAACTTTGTTGGCTCCCCCTGCCCCCCCTTTCTTTATTAGTTCTTTCTTTCCAGTCCCTTTGGATTTATTTTGTTCTTTTATTTTACGGTTTCTTGAGAGTGGAGCTTAAATGATTGATTTGAGATGTTACCTCCTCCTAGTGTGTGTTTTTCATGCAGGAATGTCCCCTTTCAGTGCTGCCTTTGCGGTGTCCCACACTTTTTGACATGCGTCTCAACTTTCGTGTATTTTTTATTTCTGTTGAGATTTTATCACACCCACTGATTACCTTAGACGTGTGTTTCCAAGGGTTTAGATATTTTCTGGTTACTGCCTTCTAGTCTGTTTTCATTTTGGTCCAAGAAAACACTGTGATTTTACTTCTTTTCGATTCATTGAGGTCTGTTTTATCGCCAAGGATACACTTTATCCTATGGTTTTATCTCTAGGTGTTCCTGTAAAGAGTGAGACTTGTGAAGAATGTGAATTCTGCTGTTTGTTGGGCGGGGTGTCCTGTCGCTGTTGATGAGAGCTTATGGTCTGTGGGTATCGCTGACCTCTGGTCTCTTGGTCTGGCTGTTTGTCAGTTGTTGAGAGAAAGGTGTGAAAGTCTGTAAATAAAATTGTGGATTTGTCTGTTATTGCCGGGGAAATGGTAGAAGTTCAGGTTGTTTGTCAGCCTCCACTGACACCCAGGTTAGGGAAGTTCCTCAGTCATTCTGGGCTGATATGGCTTTCTGGCCTCTCACTGACATCCTGGTGGGAATGACCTCATTGCTGAGGGACAATGGTGAAATTCCTGACTCTCGGGTGGGCCTTCATTGACAGTACTCAGGGGCGCTTAGTTACCGTAGGTAGGAGAGGAAGCCCAGGCTCCTTGCTGACCTTCCACTGAAAATTCCAGCTCTCTACTTGCCTTCTCCTACACCACCCTGCAGCTTCCGGGTACAGCTTCATGGGCTGGAAGCCTAGGATCTCTGCTTGGTCTTTGGTGAAGGTGGGCGTGGGATTGCAATCTTTTCTGTGGCAGTTGGCTGGAAGAAAGCAGCTGTTTTCTAAAAGTTTCCAACCTTGCTAAGTGTTTCCTTGCCTTGTCCTTTGGC